TTCTATTCTCCCCAACTTAACGTCTTAGGAGGCATCCAAACTAAGAACCCGAAACTATTACTACATACAGCTTTCACAGTCAAGATCTAATGATACTTCCCTGGAAAGCATTCCCTAACTGCCCAGATAAAATTGAGTAGGCAACTCTCTGCAATTTAGTCAGCACTTGCTTAGTTACAAAGTATGTGTGTATGTATTTTTTAAGTTTACTTAACATACTTTTGGCGAGTAACAAAATAACATATAGTTTTGTTAGGATAGCATGCACAACAAAAACTAAACAAGGAATGATATTTCCTTGAATAAGATACATTTGGTGTCAGAAGAGATGTCTATAATCCTCTAGTTAAATTACTCTTCTGTGCTTCAAAGGTTTCCATAAACATCCTGGCCTGGAGTAGTCAATTATTTCATGTTGTGTTTTTAGTCATATTTCAATAGCTTTCATACATTTAGATTTTCTGTTTTCTGTAGGTAAAGACAATGCTTAAGAATCCCTAAATTTGTCATAGTAGATTCCTGCATGAAACAGAGAGCTAATAAAAACTTCCCAATAGTTTTTTCACTAAAGAATTCTACTATCAGAAAAAGTCAGGACATTAATACTCAACAGTAAATATCAAGGACTACCATCAATTTCAAAAAAAACCTTCCACTTGAAGCGAGCTGGGTCTCACCTTGCATCCCATACATATCTTTGTCTTTAAGAAGACTTGATGGGGAGTAGGATATAAATTATTTCAGCTGGACTAAGATTTATGGACTCACATTATTTTGGCTAATTTTTTTAAAAATGTTCTTAACTAACTACCTTGATAGCCAATGGTCAGCTTTCCAGGTCTGAATTGTTGGAAGCAGCTGCATTTCAAATTATTCTATTATAATTCAAATATAATTCCAAAGCATCTGTCATATACAACTACCTAAATTTAGAAACCCATAGAGATATTTATTTGAGTCACATCTTTAAAGCATTTCTTCCCCACTTAGATCATTAAGACTCAATTCTTACGTGTCATATTCCATTGGAGTAATTTTTAAAAGTCTTTAGTGTTTAAAATAAGACTTCAGCAACATAAAATTATGTATTCTGTAGCCTTATAGAAGCTATAAATTTATAGTTTACTTGTGATAGAGATGCTAAAACTTAAACCAATATAAAAAAAATAAAAGACTCTAATTAGAGAAGCTGCAGCAAAGTCTAAATAGCAATTTTAATGAAGATTTATTCTTCCTATCTCAATGTCTCAGTCACAATCCATGGAGTAGAAAAAAATTTTGAGGGCTATTATCTTTCTTTTCAAGTTAGTTAACTCCTCATTACAATAATGGCAATGGTATAAAATGTTTTTAAGAAATAAAATTCTTTTGAAAAACATAAATAATTTTTAAGCAGAGGCAACAGAAAACTCACTCACTCCCATACACCTCTATAAAAGTAAAGTATGCTACTTCATTACCTTAAATGAATGAGCAGAAATTAAGTGCAGGGTGATTCTGAAATATATTCCTACTTATGAAATCAACATTTTAAATCTACATTTATCTCTCAGATAAAGTGAGAAAATTGAGGAAATTAAAACCCCTAAATCACAGCAAATACGTACATGATAAAATTTCTGCTTTAGTAAGAAAGCAATAAAAACATGTCAAGCAAAAGTATGTTTATAATTTGCTCCATAAATCAGAAAAACTCATAAAATTAATGAAATGTAAGTCATATATATATATTATATACACACACACACATGTACACACACACATTTGTGTGCGGATATAGATACAGGGATAGGGACAGAGATAAAGAGCAAAATTTGTGGCAGCCAGGTATCAAATATAGGAGGCAGGCTGCAAAGGATATTGTAGGCAACTTTATGTTTTAATACAATGTTAACACATTAGCTATTTGTTACTAAGAGAAAATAAAGTTGAAAACAACTGCTCTTGTTTTCAAACTCTGATTTCTACTTTGCTCTAGGTTGGAATAAGACATTCTTAAGAAAGAAAAATAAACCTTTAACATTGTTTCCATTTTGCTTTGAAGAGGAGTTGAATGTTTCTGAGGTGGTTTCAGTTTTTCCGCTAACAAATTGACAGAGAAATTACATTTGATTTACTTTCCTTATTTTCCTTTTAGATCCCAATTTTGAAGTGTAGTAGATGTGATAAATGGAGCGATAATTCTGGAGTAGGTAGTCACTGTGATTGATTTAGGAGACATTTGCCAAGACAGGGAACAAAGTGTATTGAATGTCTAACCTATCCAAAATCTATCACAAAATATGCCCCATAAAACACAAGAATAAGCTCCAGGTTGCTATAAGACACAACTACTAGAAAAAATCATGACTCAAAAATTGATTAATAAAAACAGACCATAGATTCTTTAAAAGAACAATCCTAAATTCAAACAAAAAGTGAACCAACCATAATGAAATAAATCATTTTGCTTTACAATCTGAATATAAATCATAAAAATTTTGTGGGCTAAAAAACAAGAGTATTTATTTCATAGTTTTTTGACCAGAAATATGTAACTACAATATGAAATGATTCAATTAATGTATTTGCTGATGATTTTCTCCTAAAACTTGTTTTTTGTTTGTTTATTTTGTTTTTTTGTTTGTTTTTTTTTCCCCATGCAATGAGGCTTAGTTTTCTAGTAGAAAGAACTACATATAGTACAATAACAACATACATATCAGTTTGGTAAAATATTTCAGGGACAGAGATGTGTTCTATGGCTTCTATCCTATTAGAGAAGTGAAGGAAGTAAGAGAGTAACAAAAAAGTTTGCTGATATCTTACTCTATAGAATGTTACATCCAAATCTCTGAAAATATAAGTCTGTAGCTTTTTTTCCCCTGCTTAGTCAAGCTTACTTCAGTTCTTATGCAAGATGCTTTTCTAGATCTTACAGAGGCTTGATGCTTTTACAAAAGGACTCACTCGTAGCCTCATCAAAAGGATGTAATGGACTATGTGAAACATCATAACATCCTATTTTCCTACCAGTTTGTGGACAGAGCCAATATATAGCTTTTCATTATACCTTTTCTTCTTGTCCTTACACAACAAACATTTCACTCAGATGACTATGCTAAATCGGCTCGATCCGTACCCTGCCAGGCCCTTTTCCCTCCAAAGATCAACAGCATTTAACGGTGTACTTGTTTTGGGTACCCCCCGACCTCCCCATACAAAACCTTCCTTTATATCATGGCCTTGTAGGATCTAATTCTTCATTCAAGTAACAGCAAAGGTATTATGTCTAGATGTAGGTTGCAAACATTTTGCAATGTGGAGAATTACAGACATTTCAGAGGAATATTAGGGGAAAAAAAGAAAGTTCTCACCAGAAAGATAATAAAAGAATAATAGAATTCAAAGGCTAGAACAGATTTTTATAGATTATCTAAATCAGGGTTTTTCAACATTAGCATCACTGACATATTGAGCCAGATATTCCTTCACTGTCCTGTGTATTTTAGGATGCTTAGCCGCATCCCTGTTCTGTACCCACTGAATACCAGAAGCCCCACCTTCCTACCCCACCACAAAGCTGTACAGACAGAAATGTCTCTAGATGTTGTCACATGTCCCTTGGAGGGCGAAATCATTCCTACGTGAGAACCACTAATCTATGACATTGATATATGCGCATTCATACAACAAGAGAGAATTCCTATTGCAATTCTTAAAAAGACATGCGGAGGATGTGGTCAAAATCATACGTAGGAGTAGGGAAGAAATGTGAGTAAGATAAAGGTCTCTGAAAGGCTAAATTTCTACAAAAAAAATACACATTTTGTTTATTTAGATGCTCTGCAAAAACAGAATGACATAAAAGTTTTTATACTGCCAGCATTTTGTAAAAATATGTTCATGTAAGTATAATATATAAAGAACAGTATTATGAAGTCATAAATTTATCAGATTAACTTTGGTACAATTAAGAGCTTACTGACCTATGACTATTAGCTAGAGAGCCAGCAATCATCCCAAGTAGGTTTACAGCATTGAAGAGCTGTACCAACCTCTCTACCTTTTTTCATCATTAGAATTAGGAGTAAGACCAATCCATTTTCAAATCCAGTATTTAGTAACCATATAATCTGTGACAAGTTACTCAGCCTCTCCAAGCTTTTCTTTTCTTCATTTGTAAAATTCAAAGACAATATAACTTACGGGGAAGTTAAAAAAAAAATGAGCTTTGGTGTATATAGAGTTTGGCTGATATGTGATTAATAAATAATAAAGGTTATTGTTAATATTAGTCATAAAAGTGGTGGTACATTTTATCTTACAAAACTTGAATCCTTAGCTTTTAAGGTTAGTTTGTATATAGTCCTGGCTGAATTTTTTTTTTTTTTCTGATCTGTCAGTTGAATCAAAGTTTCAACAGTAGAATAAAAGTTTCAAAATAAAAATTTTCTGACATCTTATACAGGTTTAGAGATTGTCTTACATGGTTCACCTGTGTAGTTAACTTCTTATTTAATCATGTGTGTGCATTGTCTTCTTCCAGGTGGATGGAAAGTACCCTTGGAACTATTTTATTTTATATATATTTGTTTTCCAATATCACCATGGAAAAATTAAACTTATAGCAAGCACTCAATCTCAGAGCCTGCATAATCTGTACTTCTTGAATGCCCAGAAAGCTTTCAAATATAATTCACAGAGAAGACTCATAATCAATCTAAAAATTAGGAAAACACACAAGCATAAGCATAGCAAACAACTCTTAAAAATATAAACCATTCCTTTCAAAAAACTTTAATTTGGTACTATCAAATTAGCCAACTATCACCAATAGTGCTACACACTAGGAAAATTTCCTCCTGTACATATATTCTTTCTTCTCTCCATTCTACGTCAGTAGATTCTGTATTTAGCTGCTCATTTTTCACATTGTAAAATACCACTTGTGCCATAATAATTACCCTTTAACCATTTGAATTTCAATCGCAGTTGCAACGTAAAGTAATGGCACCTACCGCTGTGGTGTTTAATTGTGTCAGTGGTTAAGAATCTCTTCACCACCAGATAAGCGGAGCCAGGTTCAGCTAATGAGCCCCACCGAAGCACCTGCTCCAGCACATTCTCTGTGTAGTGAAGAGGTCGCTCTGTGAAAAATAAAACCCAAATCAAAGGGAAAAGAAAAGTATTAAGACAAGAATTTTTATAATAATAAATTTTTAAAGTCCTTTTGAAAAGATCTGTATGCAACAATATACATAATCACATCTTACTTTATACAATAATAGCATTAGGACTACATACAAGATACACTAACATCTAGAACAACATTAACCACATAATAAAATTTACTACAGATTTACTATATAAATGAATATGTGCAGGAATGCCTGTTTGCTACTCATCTATTAAAAAGAAAACAGAAGTGCTTTCCTTTATATAAAATCTCAGAATCCTACCCTTCGTACAACGTATGAGTGTCTTACTCTATCTTCTTTTTAATTTAGGTAACATTCTGGCTTGCCTATGTGCAAATGAAATCAAATAATTGTAAAGGGACTAGCAAAGTTAATTTTGTTCATTAGAAAGTAATAAGCATAAATTCTTTGTTTATAATTCTTTGTTTATCCCAATAAGATCAGAATCTTATAATTTCATATTAGTACTGATGTACTAGTGAGCAACTTATAGGTGATATTCTCATAATCAAGATGAAATTATAAAATATAACCTCTATAGAGAACATATGAAAATAATTGTAAAAGAGTACAGAGTAACCTAGATATAACTATTAGTGGAAATACCAATCAAAAACCTTATGTGGCAACATTATACATTAACTGTTGACAGAACAGGCCAACAAGCAAGAAGTTAAATGGCAGCCTTTCCTCAAAGAATATTCATCCACATACATTTTGTCTTAGGCAACCACATTTTTTAAGGTAACACATATTCTTAGCAGAATTAAAAAAAAAAAAGCTCCACAAGTTTTACAAATATAATCAAAACTTCATAGAAAAGTTTTCTACTGATCAAAATATGCCAATCATTTAATGAAATGTAACCACAGAAGCATATGCTGGGGAAAAAAGATATTTGAACTTTTTCACAGTACACTAAATATAGCATAATTGGAAGCCCTGACGTACAGATGCCAATACTGCTTTCCCAGGACTGCAGCGATATGTAAATCAACTCACCTCTTTCATACCCTCCTTAATGTGGAGCACATAGCACTTGAGCTTTTTTGTTTTGGGTAAAGTAGTAATGCTACTGACAAACAAGAAAGAGCATCTCAATAGCATCATACTCACGTGTAAACCACGATACTGTAATTGGTAACAAAATTAAAAGGCCAAAATATCACATCCTCTCTAATACTGATCTCCCCTGCTATGGTCACAATAATCCAACGTCTACAAAGGAAGAAAAGTAGTTTTCCACTTCCACCCTAATTGTCAGATTTTTGCTTCCTATCCAGTAAAACTGAAATGCAGTCTGTGCTTGTTGGAGCTAGCCTAGTCATGATAATGGCACACACAAAAAAAGAGCCACTAGGCTACACATCTTGAAATCAAGAATCTACATCTTTTTTACTATTATATATCCCCCTGCACACAGCATAGTACTGAGTATATAACAGATGCTTAATAAATATTTGAGGAATGAAATATCTTATCAATTTCTTCGGTGATCCATAAATTCACAGAAAATATTCACAGAGCAGCAGACAAAATATAACTCTTTCTAAAAACAGATAAAATCTTTTGTGCTATCTTAATGTTGCTTTTCTTCAAATAATTTTCTAAGAGTGGGCAAAGATCATAATTGCTCATAATTTGTCAATGGTGTAATTCAATTGTTAATTAACCCATAAATTGGTTGTCTTAAAATTGAAGTTAGATGTACTTAAAAGTAAAACTAATTATAGAATAAGCACCTGCTTTACATTCAGTTTTAAATGATACTTGAATCCACTACTTGCAAGCTCAGAGACACTATTGATCTGATTAATAGTTGCCATTTATGGAATAACACCTATGCATCAGACATTATATATACTGGATACTTTAAATCAGTTATCACTTTTAATTCTCACAATAACATTCTTCAATAAAAAATAAAATTATTCATATTTTACATGTAAGGGAATTTAAGGATCACAGAGATTCAGCCACTTGCCTAAAGTTACATAGCTAGTTAAGGTGAGGAATAGAGATTTGAAGTCCAAACCTACCTGACTTTAAAGTAATGCAATGTGGATAAAATAGTACCAACTTGCCAAGATTTTTTTTGAGGACTCAATAAGGTAACATAATGAAAGTGAAAACCAATGTCAGTTCAGACTTTCCCCTTCTCTGCTCCCCATCAATTCCCCATCCTTAGTGAAAAGATGGGAAGGAAATAAGAGCACGATAGTTTCAACATCCCGTGTGCAAGGAAACCGATGATATTGGAGTTGGCTTAGAAGTGAGAATAATATTCTTAAATGGAATACAGTATCTGGGTTGAAATAAAAACTCTCCTTTATTACAAGATTAAATTGCTAATGAGACTTTGAAATGTCAGACATTTCTATTAAAGAGGGTCAGTATTACATACTATTACAATAGACATCATTATTACTACAGTGATATCTCTAAAGTGTTCTTAGTCATACTGAAATAAATCACAACAGAAATAGAGGCCTATGTATGGGCATACAATTAATCTTGGTTGCAGAAAATTAGTCAAATATGCTTTCATACTGGCATCATAGTATGAAATACTTCAGGAGAGTAAAAATCCTGCAGATCCAAGTTCCCAGATAAAGAACAGAGCTTAAAAAATGAGATGAAAAGATAAATATTTAGACTGCCAAATGCTACAACTATAAAATGGCATTAATATTCACCTTAAGAAAGAAATAAGCAGCGGGAAAAAACTGAGACATCAAACATTATTGGAACATAAATTCCGACAAATAAATTTTTATTTATAGTTACATTTACAACCATCTGTCATGATAGATTATATGGTATGTAAGTCATCTGGCATTAGGGTGTTACTAGAAATTAACTCTTTTGCATACTATCTATAGAATAAAAATTGCTAAAAATTCAGTGTAGTTATTTGAGAAGAATAGGTTATGGAGGTGATTCTTTAGCTGTGTAAAACAAAATGTTATTAACTGCTTAAAATCTTGTTGACAGAACAAACCTGGCCTCTCTTGTTAAACACAGAGCTATCCATTTTCCACTTGAAATAACAGCCATCAACCCTAAACTTCTGACAATAACACAAGATGTTCAGAGACAATTATGACTTCCCCAACGATTAAATTCTTAGTGCCAAACTTAGAGCTGCACAAGCCTTTCTCTGTCCCGTCCACATAAACAGAAGGTAACAGCACCTTGTGTGTCAATCAGAAGAGCTGGAAAGAATCCTGATGAAAACTAAACAGATCTTCCATATCATAGCAGCTATGAGGAAGAAATAAGAAAAAAATGTGCTATGGTATGGCTGCCTAGGAAGTAACTGCTTCACAACTTGAACTTCTCAGTGAAACCCGCTTAAACGAAGCCCCTACAGTAATTACCTTCTTTCAAGATGTGAAATACCTAGAGGGTTTGAGGGCTACAATGGCAAAGAATGAGTTCAGTTTTAAGGTAAAGCATTAAAATAATAGCATACTTTGAAATACCAGCTCTTAATGAAAGGCATATCCTCTCTGAGGAGGGATTTCAGCTGGTCCTAATGACTGGCAATAGTGGGTCAAAAATGCCTGATGTCCTTCAAAGGGTAAGATTTGTTCTTGATCCAGCACAAATTTCAAGTGTATGTACCACCAGGGTTTCCTTTAGAGGCAAAACCTACTTACAAATTCATTGAGCCTAGACTAACTCAGTTTAACATATATTTTATATGGTTGTAATAGAAAATCAAAATATCAAAAAATCAAAATATTTTATACAGTTGTAATGCAACTTATTTTTTCCATGAATTTGGCTACCACACAAAAAAGAAAAAAGATTGTGCTTTTAGTCAAAACTTCCTAAGAGTCGTGCACCATTTCACCAACGTGAAATAGTATTTGAGTCATGAAATTGACATGCTTACAGCAACCTGTATTCGTAGCTATCACATCCACGATGATTTCATTGATAGATTTAGGAATCTATTTTCAACATCTTCGGCCATATAGGAGTATTTCGGCATTTACATGCTAAAATGCATATGTCCCTCTTATTTATTTTTATATTATAATTAGTGTATTATATTATTTTTTAAATGAGTAAAATAGATTATCTCAGAGTAGTAAAGGGAATGTTACACAATACTTATTACACAAAGCGGCCATTGGATATGGGAAAATAGAGAACTCTTGCTTTAAAATTTATAGATATTTAAAATCTAGCGCTCTGGCTTACTTATATATACATCCATTTTTGGTTACTTCATTACTTGGAGGTTTTACTGTTACATTAGAAAACACACCAATTGGCTGCTGACATTATTCTTAGCAACTATAATCTTCTTACTATCTATGCCTTTATTTTTATTTCCTATTTATCTTTATCTTTATCTTCCATGCATGTTGCTAGAAATAAAGCCTGTAACACTTTAGATCAGGTGGTTTACACGAGTTCCGTAAACCAACATAATCACAGGCCTTTTTGTTGCTTCCCTATCATTGTTTCTCTAGAAGCAGTGGAAATAGTCTTAGTTTTCTGGCAATTTCTACTTTATAGTTGACTAAACATTAAGACCACACCAAATTTGAATTCTTAATTCCGAATGTATTCTTTCCTGGTGTACATGGGTTGTTTCTTTCATTATACATTCGGACATTCACAAATTAAACCTTGATGTCTTCTAGTGTTTTTATATCTTCATTAAGACAGTATTTTTCTTTTATTTTTATTACAGAGAGGAAGTAATAAAATAATCTAATCTTAGCATTTGTGATGTACTAACTGCCACATGCAAGTTGATAATCAAGTCACTTTGGGGGTAAGCATCCTTTGATTTTCTAAGATGAAATTTCAAAACACGGTTTCTATGGATAATGTAATCTCCCTTCTAGCTAAACATAACTCCTTCCCGTCCTCACCCATCTGCTTGCTTCTCTCAGGAGGACCAATGGCCAAAGACACACAGCCCCAATGCCATGACTTAGGGATATGCTTTAATTTACTCAACCCTTGAGAGGACAAGTGTGGTAGGGAGAAAATGCCTACCGCCAAATCCATGGTTCAGTATTCTTCTGTGACCTTTTTTTAGAAAACAATAGAAATAGAAGCATACAGGAAACAATCAGCTTTCCAAGCACTAACCACAGTCTTGAGATCTTCTAGCGGTTCCTAATCTACAAGCAGGGATCACTTTCTATGTGCCGTCCACATTTGATACATTTATACAAGGGGCCGTAATCCAGGACACTCAGGTCCCGAGAGCCCCACCTCAGTTAAAAAGACTTTTGTGGGTCATGTTCCACATCAATGCACTATGCTAGAGGCAGTGAGAGACACATTCACAAAAATCTAAAGTACATAGTAAATGCCCTAAGAAAGCATGGTCTAGAACAGAACCAGATGTATACACATTGCTATTCTACAGGTCATGTAGTATGTAGTATTACAGATCTTAAGGCAAATGATCAGAAACAGGTCAGTGTGAACTATGCTCATCTGAATATCATGAAGGAAGGGACATTTGAATTGGACCTTGAAGGATGGACAATGAGGAAATAATGAAAAAGCTTTAAATGGTAGAATATAATCCAATTTGTGATCTGGAAAGATCATAAAAGGCAATAATGTTGACAATTAACTTTTATTCACAAATACAATAAGGCTGACACCTAGTCCACCATCCTCAAAATTAAACAAAAAAGAAAAATCAAAAGACTCTACTACCCTTGCAGCACAGAGTCATACAAAATTAATAGTTCTTAACTGTATGGCTACTATGTACTAGGTTCTGTGCTAGAGATTAGATATAGGTAAAAAAAAAAAGACAGTCTCTCCTTTCTTCCAAGGAGCTCCCATCAAGACAGAAAAACATAAATCCAGGTAAACTACAAAAAGAGATGAGACAAAGTGCAATGGAACTCTTAGTCTGGGTTTTAAAGGAGGTAACTGGGTGGGCCAGATGGGGGAAGAACAAAGGTATATTTGGGAAACACCAGCTTACATATGTCAGTTAAGCACAAAAAAATGGAAGAGATTATCTATTTTAAAAAAACATGTAAAATGAGAAAAGATGGCCAAGGAGATTGGTGCAGTGGAAATTCAACATTTAGGAGACAGAGAGAGGAAGAAGAAAGTACAAAAGAGAAAATAATCAGAGAACCAAGAGGATAATCCAGGGCACACTGAAAACAGAGTGAAGATTATCAAAGAAAAAAGAAATGGTCATTAATAGCAAATGCCACAGGGAGGACAGGTGAATTTAGCCCTGAAGTGAACCTTCGGCCTCGACAGTGGCCTTCACGGAGTCATTTCGCAGAGCATCCCTGTGCGTGGGGAGGACCGCACCCGGCTGCAGGGAGATACTGCGAACCAGCACCAAAGCACCCTAGTCATCAGGTCTTGGCAATGTTTATTGAAAAATAGCATTTTGACCCAGTTTGAAGAGTTGTGCATGATAATTAGAAATAAAGAAATAAAAAAACATCAAGACAGAATAATGAAAGACCAAGTACTTGACCATCTCATTTCATTTCAACACTGACTGCAACACTCCGGATAACACGCTATGGGGTATTTCAACACTGAATTTTAATTTTGATATTGAGCTTGTGGGTGGCGAGATTTTCCTTTTGGCAGTTTGGCAGCTACACTTGAAAAGGTCCCAAGACTTTAGTAGGTATCAGCTAGACAGATGGTCAAGGTACATTCTGCATCTTATTTTTTTTTCCTAAACGTCTTTCAAACTAAACGGTGTCATTGGAACATTAAGCTTATTCAGCACTTGACTACTGGACTAGTCAAGGTGTTTTAAAAGCACACTTTATCTTTCAGTGTCTTTGGGATGAAAGACAACAAAATATTCGATCCACTAAAGAGAGACGAAAAGAAAAAACCCAAAAAGAAGCTTCTGCTAGGCTTAAAATTACTTTTTAGATTAATAAATAATCTTTTAAATCAACATTCTTTTTTCTTGTTAAATAAGTGGCATACAGGAAGGAGAGGAATGGTGGTGGTGACAAATACCATTACAAATTAAATCACTCGTCCTTACACACAAAGGCCTCATTTCCTGAGGTAGCAGCACAGATAGCTAATGCTTTGCACTGTATTTTTATAGTCGATAAAAATCTAATTATTTTGATGAGTAGAATCATAGCAAGGCGACTTCAAGTGATGATAATACATCAACACATACACTAAGGTAGAAGGGAATTCATAAAGAGATGTTAATATTTAGGAAAACATAAACTGTTAGTAATAACTTGTCACAAAAAGAGTATTTCTTTATATTATGAAGGATTTAAGAATCTCTACCATCAAAATCACTTACCTAGTTCTTCATTTTCAATGACTTCAAATGTGGCCCAAATGTCACCTTTTGTAGGAATGATATTTTTTATTGCTAATATATCATTAGTTAATTCTTCTGCTTCCATCACAGGAGATATCTGTTAGAGAAGCAATATTTCTTCAAAAGATAAGTAAGACACAGAAGCAGACTTATATTAGGGCAATAATACTCCCCATCCACATTCTAATGATATCCCGAGTTTCTTCCAAGTATGGTTAAAACTAGCTTCTCTAAGTACCTAGAGACAACAGCATGTTCAGATCTTTTCCATAACATGAAATACATTTACAATACAGACATAACCAGGAGGAATTTTTTTCCTCACTTAGTGAGCAATTAAGGCCACTCAGAAGGGAAGAATGTACCCAGTCACACACAGACAGACCTCACAAGACAGTCTTCCAAGTGTAAAACTTTCCACTCATCAGTTCTATAATCGAAAGTGCAGTGTCTCGGTTAATTCAGCCTAGACCCTAAATTATACACTGCTGTCTGTCATGCCAAAAGGCCCTGAGGTTTTGGTAGTGTGTGGTGTGTCCTGCCATGCCAAGCGACAGATGGTGGGATACCAAAGCATGCTGTAGCCAGAATTTCAGGGCGCAGAGCAGAGTCTGCAGTGCCAGCCTAGAGGCCAGCTCTACAAGACGCCCAAAGCCTGAGGACACGGTATAAACACACCAACTCTTCTGGGACTTTCAGGATTTTTGATTTGTTTCTTCTTGTTTTTGTTTTTGCCAATCTTAAGTGCATGCTGGCCAAAACGCAAGATGGCTTTCTTCAATTAGTATTTAGAGTTATAGTGTTAAACAAACAGAAGATGTTTCAAACATCAGAATCCTGCAATTTGCATGTTTTCAGTAAAAGTATGGCCCTATTACAAATTTCCTTAGAAAAGGAATGTGCTCATTTCCATTTCTCCTGTCCATTACTGCTCATAAGCATAGTGCATATATATAAATAACAAAAACAGTTTTCGCAACAGGTCACTCACATAGTCTACCTTGTGTACTTCATGAAATTTCGTGTTTTGGAATATATTAATTATACAACAAAATCCACTGTTTTCTATTTACAAAAGCCAAGTGAAATATAAACTTAAAAAAAGAGATAAAAACTTAGCATGTGGGAAAAGTGGAGAACTTCAAGCAACAGAAACAGTAGATGAATCATTTCAACGATGCCGTTGATCTGCATGGATTTAAAATTTTTAAAATAGTATACCTTTTTCTTACACAATATTAAATTACTGAGAAACCAAATTTGTGAAATAGGCAGCAGGGAGTGCCTCAGTTTGAAGTAGGAAGATGGAAACTCTACTCCTTGCCCCAAGAGAGACCTAAAGCTCTTCTTTAAAACACCTAGTACACCCTATTTAGGAAATTATGACTCTCTGGAATACACACATCAGTATAATCAACATCAGGTTTGGATTATGATGACACATGTTTGTATTCTGGCCTTAATTCCCATAAACTTGAGATATCATCTGCTTCATCTATCCCCATGGGTTGCAGTAATGATCAGCTGAGACAAATGTAAATAAAGGGTTTTGAAAAGTCTTAAGCATTAAAATAAACGTCAGTAATTATTTTTGTAACATTCTATGTTTTCTAAGAGCTTTTGGAGTTACTATAGGTGAAAGCGACAATTTTTTACCTAAATCCACGTAAGATAATATTAAAATTTTGCTTAATTGCAATAACTTCTGTTATGGCTTTGGAAGGAAGTTAAAATGTGTTATGGAAGAGTTTACATGTAGAGGTAAGTCATATGCTTTGAACACTTCTTCTAGCATTAGCTTTAAACTTGTGCTGATCTGCACTAGTCCTTCACATCTTTTACGATCAACATGACACATTTAGCATAATTATGAAGTGGTCAAGGAGTGGCAAGATAAATGCCTGATAAGAACAAAGCCTATGATCATAGTATTTCAGCTCCATGTTCTAAGTAAGATAGCTCATGCCATGTAGTCATAATGCATAATCATTAGAAATATATAACTTAATAATTACAATATATCAAATGTTGTGACTCTGTTTATTCTTGGACACATTAACTGCCATGCGAGCTGTATTTAACTCATGCTAGTTTTGAGCCCGGGGCCTCATGAGGCAAAACTCTGCAGGTGGTTTGTGAAAATCTTACTTCCTAATGTTCTTATTGTTACAATTAATATTGACAATTTAATTCTAAAGACATGGATTGCTTTGCATATAATTCACACACAGAAAACAACACGAAATAAAAAATTTTTTATTAAATTAGAAAGGATCATTTTGTTTTGAAAGTTTTTATTCTACTTTTGTAATAAAACACTGTGGCCCCAAGGAAAAAAAAATTTTTCTAGTGTGGCAGTCAATGTGTTAAAAAAGATAAGTAGCTAAAGGAGAATTTCTGTTCCATGGCAGAATATCTATTTCTCACATAGAGAAAGTAGTTTTACCAAAAACCTGAAATATCAGTTACTATCCCTAAAAGACTATTACTGAATATGGTAGCATGAGAAGGATCTATTTTTAATTCAGCACAAATGATCAATATTCTCACTGATAATCTGTGCTGAAGAAAAAGATTATCCAATATTTAAGGAAGGAAAGCATTATCCAATATTCAAGTAAATTGGAAGACTGGATGTTAAAGTATAGGAAACAAGAGCAGAAGATTATTGATAATAATAATAGCACTAGTAGTAATAATAATTTATTAAACACTTATATGCCGAGCAATTTGCTAAGTGTTTTACATGCATTATCTTATTGAGTCTTCAGGTCAATGCTATGATATAATAATGTAATTTTTACTCATTTTACAAGTGAGAAGATAGAGGCTCAGACAGGACAAACATAATAACTTGCCTAATGTTAAGAAGCTAGGAAGGAGAGGAGCAAGTATTTGAGCTCAGGTTATTTTCCAGAACCTACAGAAACTCCTAATTGTAACCTAAAGCACATAAGATGTTCTCTTTCCAAATGATTAAAATATAGAACTCCTGGAAAGTATTGGTATGGAAAGTCAGTGTTGTCATCAGTTTGAACTGGAAAGGTGACATAAATGTAAGAAACACTGGAAAATTCAAAATATGTAAATTAAGGGTAACACTTATGATTTCCAACAGTACTCTTTATATCCACCATTAGGACTCACCCGAATTATAATACTACAGTCAGGTTCCTTTCTTTCTACATATACTTCGATTAACAAATCTCCAGCCTGGGAAACCTAGAAAAGGGTAGATGTGAAAACAGCACACTTAAGCATGTTGCAAAAACACACATATGATACTTACGACAGTTTCCAAACCCTATAAAGCCCTAGTCATTACAATGAAATGAGCTCAATTCCCCTGTTCACAAACATATGTACCCATTTCCAGAGACAGCTGATTAAAGACAAGGAATCTACATAAATGTTATAATCAGAAACAACAATCACAATGCGATTTTTTTATCTCTTACTCAAGAGTTTAGTGTTCTCGAATACCCTTAGATTCTTACAGAAATAATGAATCTGGCCACAGTGAAAATATGCTGACTTCCACAAGAGAAGCTGTAGAAGCCATCATCGTGTACGTTAGCAGGATAAACAAAATGAGGACGGAAAATGGTCCACATGTAATTCTGCTCTTAGCTATAATGTGTGCATGATAGCAATAAAATTAAAAGGCACAATAGGTCTTACTAAATTTTCAAAGAGATGAAATTTGAGGATAAACTAGGTGAGAGCTGTATTAAAACCATAAATAGAGAAAGTAAAATTTTAGTTAGAAAAAATTAAAGTGAAATGATAGAACAAAGCAGACAATAAACATATGCTTTTATTTTAATTATTTTCAGCCAAGCATTAAGTGCTAAGTTATTGAGGTCATTATTATATTCCAGAAGATACGTTAAGTGAAGAAGATACAATCCAGAAAATAAAAAGCACAAGATATCAATATGTAGACTGACAGTATAAAGTAGAGAAATTCAATAAAGAACCAAATGAATCTATGAAAAAAATTTGAGTAGCTTTTTTCAGAAGTTCCCTTAAGTTATGTAACCACTTAGAAATAATATCCATCACCCAATTAAAAAAAAAAGATCACAATGAAGAAACAATCATTCCAAAGTTAAATTTCCCTTAGCATAAAATCTATTAAGTAAATCTGTGAGGAATACATTAATAATGTACTTTGAAGAAGTTTCTTAATTATTCTGGCATTACAAGCTTAGAAAATCTTATTTCCAATTTCTTTCCTCACTTTCCATACTACACAAAAATTCTCGGAAGATACAAGTTGACACTTTTGCTTTTCACAATGTTTGCATAAACAGTTCTCCAAGGAAGGATATATCATAAAAATTAAAAAAAGCAAACACAAAGAACTCATAGAGTGAAACTAAAAAGAAGAATAGCTAAGAAATTCAAACAGGGCTAAGACAAAGAGAATGTCAGAAAAATACTCCAGAGGAGAGTTTCAAATGGATTAGAGGAAAAACTCATGCAAAAGAACAGATTTTCCCAAACTCTTTTACTTTTCTTTTCCAATTACTATATATTATAGACAATTCTTTTATTTTTACTCACTTATACTGAATTGAAGACACTGGAGACTGATTTCTTTACTGTAATTTGAATATAAAAGATAAAAATGCAAAAGGATACTCATACGTTATAATAACAACGTAGATAATGAAGTCAAAGATGACCTGTCGGGCTCATACGATTCTTTATCTCATGACTGAAACCTTTCTAAAAAAATGAAAATTTAAGAGAATTGATAATGAGCTAGATTTTTTAGGGTTAAAGCTAACTCCTCTAGAAGCTGCATTAATTACTTTGGGTCCAAATGGAAGAAATAATTCATTAAGTAATTAATATCATAGTATTAGTACTGGGGGTAGAATCTAAGCCTTCTCTCATTTCCTTCGTATGGAACCATAACTCTGATGACTCCTCTAATTTGCAATGGATATTATTTCAGGACTGAGAATTTAACAAAAAGCATCTGCCTCATTATCTGAGTACATCTGTAAACAGAGTACATTTGACCCATTTCTATTATTTACATTGATACCTGAAATCCACTACAGTTCCTAGTTATTAGAAGATAATTAACTATCAACCTTAAGAAGTTCCAGTGAACATGCATCAAACGAGGTAAGCTACCCTGGAAAAACACAGTGAACCTAAACATGCACCTGAACATGATAATCCAATACAATGTGACAGAGGAAAGCAAGACAGAATATAGAAAAGTCAACTTAGGACAAAAATTAGCGTATGTTACAAAGATCACATTAGAAACATTCCATTAATACATCATCTGCAAGCATGCAAAGCAAAAGCATATAAGAAATAATTTATGTTTTCAAAATAATAATGAAAAAATCATTAGGCTATTTGAATTTTCAATTTACTCCAAGTATTTCTTTGGCTTTAAATGCTTCCTTTGAAATCCACCAGCATTTTCAACAGTGTTTTTATAAATAAAATTTGATTTTATAGAGGAAATCTTGATATGTAAATAAAAACTGATTTTCCTTCTATATTTTAAAAATTTACATTAATATATTTTGCATGTATTACACAACTAATTTATCTAGGTTTTTTTGTTCATCACTTTTATTTTGCTTCAAATAGGAACTTGAGAATACACACAGCAAATGTCTTTACTTACATCAGAAGTTTTTGTTTTGTTTCATTCTTTAAAGATCTAACTATTACTACTCACTTGAGTGTCTTTCCACTTGGTAATAAAGCTATTTTCTATGTCCATTTGTTTGACTTGGTCTTCTTTAACCTGTTTAAAATATAATTTGGGACATTCTAATAATGTAGAATACAAAGAGTGATGGCACTCATCGTCATATAACTCTTCAGGAATATAATATCGAGTTAAAAATAAGTGAAAATAGCTATCTTAATCGGCATGGGCCCACACGGCTAGGTCATATATAAAGCCAACAAGATAGAGTCTCAAAAAGTTCAAAACATTTTATGATGATACTACTTCAGGCTGCAATTGCCTCAATGAAAGCTCTATTGCTTAGGACATTTAACAAGCAAAGGAGCTGGTGACTGGTTTCTTTAAGTTTATGTAGGTCGAGAAACAAGATATTTTTTTTTTTTTTGAGACAGAGTCTCATTCTGTTGCCCAGGCTAGAGTGAGTGCCGTGGCATTAGCCTAGCTCACAGCAACCTCAAACTCCTGGGCTCAAGCGATCCTCCTGCCTCAGCCTCCTGAGTAGCTGGGACTACAGGCATGCGCCACCATGCCTGGCTAATTTTTTCTATATAGAATTTTAGTTGTCCAGATAATTTCTTTCTATTTTTCTTTAGTAGAGACGGGGTCTCGCTCTTCTTGCTCAGGCTGGTCTCGAACTCCTGAGCTCAAACAATCCGCCCGCCTTGGCCTCCCAGAGTGCTAGGATTACAGGCATGAGCCACTGCGCCCGGCCTAACAAGGTATTTCTTGAGCTGAAATGTTCGTTAAGTGCTTATTAAATTTCTACCATTTAGGTAAAGTTAGGTTTAATACAACTATGAAGATAATCATGTACTTTTTACAAATGGTACAGTACAAAAATAAAATATAAAGAGAGCATGTAAAGCCACACATCATTTTTTTCTAATTCTTTCTTTTCTCAGCATCAGATTATTGCAAAGAATTTGCTATTGATCAAAAACAGTGGACACATATAGAAGGAAATAAAGAGAAGATCAAGGAGCAAAGAAAGTCTAACAAATCTGCTGTCCATTCCTATATGAATTAAGTTAGAAACTTTAATGTTTTATTTTATGAAAATAGTTCCTTTTTCTTTGCTAAGGAATCTTGTGATAAGTTATCTTAAGAATGTAAAAACTCTACAAATGGTAACCCTATCACACTAACTCACTTGGTTTAATCTGGTATATCTGTACCTCTGGAAAACAAGTGGTCTAATAAACATCATTTAATGAAATGCTCAGAGAGGTTAAATGGCAATACTGAGATGCTAGAACGAGTTATGTAATGAAACTAGACCTTTGACCTAGATCCACCATAATCAAATCCTGGGTTTATTTCTTCTATTTTTACTTTATTGAACCAAGAAGTCATCCCTATTCTAGCAGTTTCCTGATGAAACATGAAAATATTAACTTTATAAAAATAGCAAGTTAAAAAGTCAAATAATTAAAACAGAGATGACGTAAGTACTACAGAATAATAATATTTCAGAATTTTATTTTTTCCAATTAGAGACACAATTAAACAAAACAAAAAAAACCTAAAATGCTTTCAATTTAACTGCCTGATATTTATTACTGAATTGTTAAATTCATAATTTCCCACCTCTAAATGGACATAATTCATACACATATAATGAGAAAGGAAATGCACACAAAAACCCTATAAATAGAACTATTCTGTCCAAAAGACATCAGATGGTAAAAAAGCTTTAAAAGCAACCGAATTTAAAATGAATGGCTATAGCTTAAAAAACTAGTTATAGCTAAAAAAATTTTTAAATATAACTACTCTTTATTTTCTCTTTCTAAATATTCATAAAGACTTGAATAGTAACATCCTAAAATATACATCTTTGTAAACAGCAACATCAAAACCACTTTAACAACGGCAAGATATAAAATATTTACCTCAAATATTTCTACATAATTATTAATTAGGTCCTCAATTACATTCACTTCTTCACTAGTTTGTCCGTTTGTTTGAAACAAACAGGATGAAAAGACCAAGGCCAAATTATGGGCGTTCATGTGATTGATTTCCGAACATTTCTGAACCCTGTCAGAGAAAAGCAAAGCTCGTTATGACACACTTCTATTTGGAAATTTCATAGAACTACAAACCAGGATTCTTATCATTTTTAACACCCACATATTGAAGTTCTCTGATATAAAAGGTATAATGTTGATTTAAAGAAAAACATATGGATCTTTCTTCCAAGTAGCTTATAGTCTAGTCGAGAAAATAAGAAAGGATACTGCTGAAGAGATTAGTACAAGTTACAAAGCAGTACTTGATTGCTGATTTAGAGGAAGGACTGAGCGTATCTAAACAATTTCAAACTATGAAACAACCTGTGCCAAAGCATAAAGTATGCTTACAGAGTGGTGTAAAATGACTTGTAGGACTGCAGCATAAATGGAAGAGGAAGAGGGGCAATATGTAAGCGGAAAAGAAAGCAAGAAAGGGAGCTTGGTAGGCATATATTAGAGAGTTACAAATTCCAAGTTCAAGGCTGGGCTAAATTTTCCAGAAAGTGCATATTAGGTTAGAAAGAACACCTGGAAGCATATGTTTGTACAGTTATTCAAAATAGGATATTATTAAAAAGCAATTTAAAAATATAACTACATTTTCCTTAGATACAACTGAGAATCACTTTTCATAATGAAGAGATATGAACGAACTAGTCAACTCTTCCATTCAGTAGGCTACAAGCCCTGGATCTTAAAAGGGCAGTTCAAAGTATCCACAAATATAAGTTCAAAGTAATACAAAAAAACAAACAAAAAAACCCCACTATAGTCCTCACCCCAAGAAAGGGAAATTTATACTGATAAAAATGCACTACTTGAGAATTGTAAGTAGTGCATATAAAAGTATCTGTTAATGGCCTCTATTTATGTGTCACAGACTGTGTAAATAGCAGCTGCCCAATTGTCTGTTTAATTACGTTTGGAAATTTTTGCAATACATATTAAACAAGACAAACCAAACTCCATCAAAGCATATAACAAGAATATATAACAAGAATAATCTAGGTATTCCTGTCTATAAAGAACATAGATTCTTGTAGGTACAAGAACAAGTGAGTAAACATGACAGCAATATATATGATAATGTAAAAAAATTCATAATAAAATGCCAAATTGCATAGCAGAGACGGGGCAAGTGCAATCGTCAAATATGATTTACAAGATGCAAAAGGAACTGGAATTTAACAGAGGAGGATGTAATAATTGTGGACACCCCTCTCAAAAACCTTCTCTACTTTTATCACACTAAAACTGTAAACATCTGGAAAATTTATCTGCATGTCTGCCTCTGTTACTAGAATCTAATAAACATCTCACAGTCAGAGACCGTTGCTTTAATCACACTGTAGTGTATGATAAATACCTGGTGAATGGAATTAAGTGGATGTTACTGATGGAGAAAGTAGTCTTTTATCTAGGGTAGGAATTAAATTAAATGCTAAATCAACCTGGCCACGTCCAAATTTACCTCTCAATCTTTTGAGGACATTATCAAACATTTCTGCCTTTCTTGAGACTTTCTTCTGTACTACCTTTCTCCTTTGGTACTCTTCGCCTCTCTTTAGCTTCAGTGGCTACCTTCATTTCTGGGATAAAGTGGGTACAGTAGTGTTCCTTTTCTTCCTGCGTTTCCCTGCCCCCAGATGTTGGCATTCCCAAGTGTTCCGTATTCAGCCTGCTCAGGCTCTTCTCACTCAGGCCTTCTCATCGGAACCCCAAGGAAACTGTTTTCTAATTCTTTTCTCTGCCTCCTACACTACTTTTTCCCAACTACTCCCATCATAGGGGTTATTATCCTAAAACAAATTTGGTCAGTCACTTCTTATTACTTAAAGGATAAAATCCAATTTTTTGTATGACCTGTACAATCTTTCACAATGTCCTGACAACCAACTATAACCCTTTTCATCTCCTAGTACTCCTATGTCCCAGGAGTTATCCTTCAGCTCATTGCTCATACTTACCACTCTTTCGTGCCTAGTTCATGTGTGTCTTTAAATCTGAAGCATGAAGCAGTCCCTAAACCTCAACACACAATGAATCAATATCTCCTCTATAATTGCATGCTGCATGCTAAAATTATCCATATTAAAATGTGTCCCAACATCTCACAGGCATAGAGATAGGATGATATAATGTAGACTACATTTGTATGGTGTAATAAGAAAATCAGTTTACAATACTGGAGTTGACATGCATAAGAAGTAGTGGTCGGAAGAGAGAGAAAAAGAGAAAAGAAGACCAATTGTGGAAGATTTCTAAATCTAGACCCTAAATAGGGTACTTTTAGTAAAATTCAGTTTTATAGAAATTTATTCAAGAGAGTATTTCACCCATGCAGGAAGTTACAACATATTCCTTAGCCAACGTTTACACTTATTAAAGTTTTTGTAATCATTTTTGCTGAGATCAAAATAAACCTCTAGTTTTAACTTAAGAGGATATTTTCAAACATTGTTATCCTTCAGACCTCATTTCTCAAGTCACCATTACATTCCTCATATCTTATCAAATGCAGAGGGACTTTCATATCAAAACATAAAAAATGGTTTCGACTTCTAAAATTTCTTCATTGGATAAATAGCCTGATACCAAAATATATGGGTTAGGTAAGATATAAACTGATAATAAAGAAATGTCCACCAAGAGAAAGCACTGTATTCACAGCCAGATTCCTGTTACAGAATTCTGGTCCCTGTAATTCCTTTATTCTCCAACTTCCCACCCAAATGAGTCTTATAACTCTTATTAATGCACTAGATGCATTTGAGGATGCTGTATATGATTATTGCTAAATCATTTAAGAAATTCCCAGTGTTATTTATCTGTAAATGTGACTTAATTACAGAAAGAGAGGCTAAAGTAATTATTATTAAGATATGTTGAAAGATTCATTATCACATGTAGAAGAAGGTTAACCACACTATTTTAAATTTAAGAAATGATGAGTCACTGAGTGCTATGTTTGAAATGTCTAAAGAAGTTACTAAATCCACCCACCTATAAAGGTGTTCAACTATAGCTGCCAAAGTTGCTCGGTTGACTCCTGGAAGAGTACGTATAAATGCTCCATACTTTTTAATTCTTTCTTTGTCATCTTGTGTATCTAGAGGGGGAAAAAACAATCTTTAGACCTAAACTAATCATCTATATTATAAATTTTATTTTCAACAGTATTTTAAAATAGTCACAAGTATATTTTATTAAGTGACACAATTAGGTTTCAGTAGAAAACCATTCAAACTCCTATAATAAAATTGCCTATAACTCTGGAAAAGCAATTAATTACATAAATATTCCACTGCTATATGCTATAGTTCTTATAATTTGTAACTTAAAATAAAAAACTTCCAAAATGGGAGGATGAGAGAGGTTGCATTTTTTATCTTCTACTTTATGGAATATTGGACTTCAATTAACTACTCAAGTTGGAGTAAAAAGTGAAGAATTAAGCCAAAAGTATTTTAACATTGGCTATGGAAAGATTTCATTACTTGTATTTGAAAATAATATTTCTCTTCTTTTTTTCATATAATATTATAAAAATCTTCCCAAAGCTATAAGCCATCCCAGAGCTCTGAATTGTGCATTACTCTTTCAATCTATTTTAAGGGGCTTTTACCAGCCCTGGTACCTTCAAATCTTTGGAAAAGATGAGGAGACGACAGGAGAAGTCATGGGCAGGACTTAATAACTGCAATCCAGACTTAGAGGAGGATGAACCCTCTGCCCTTGTCATGGATGGAAATTTATTGGTTTATGGATGAGAAGGAATGACTCTGTATTCTCCTAACCCAAAAAAGTCAAATATCTGCAGAAACTAGAGATAGGAACCCCCAAATTTCCAGACTCCAGAGCAGCAGTCCCCAACCTTTTTGGCACCAGGGACCAGTTTAATAAAAGATGGTTTTCCACAGATGGGGGCCGGGGGGATGGTTTGGGGATGATCCAAGCTCATTACATTTATTGTGCAGTCAAACCTCTCTGCTCATGAGAATCTGTATGTGCAGCCGCTCCGCAGCACTAGCATCACCGCCTCAGCTCCACTTCAGATCATCAGGCATTAGATTCTCATAAGGATCCGCAAGCTAGATCCCTCGATGGGTAGTTTACAGTAGGGTTAGCGCTCCCATGAGACTCTAATGCCGCCACTGATCTGACAGGAAGCAGAGCTTATACCGTGATGCCAGCAATGGGGAGTGGCTGTAAATACAGATGAAGCGTTACTTGTTTGCAGCCTTCTCACCCCCTGCTGTGCACGGGGTACAGGTACTGGTCCACAACCCAGGGGTTGAGGACCGCAGCTCCAGAGGACGTGTAGTGGCAGTTTGGTTTAAAGTACTAGCTGACAGGGGAAATTAAAGATCACTCTCATAAATGGCTCGTGCTGACGTTGTAACCCAAGGGGACTGCGCATCTATTCCCTCTCAATTCCCAACTACCTCTGGAAACAAGGCTTTTTCATTTCCTACTTACTGCTACCTGTTCTCTTCACAGAAAGCCAGCAGAACATTAACCATTCTTTAAAAGTACAAAGTCACTTGTAAAGGACATTCAGATCCCTGGGGATTTAAGAAACTCTGTGACACATTTTTTGAGTACACTCCTATTCAAAACAGCAGGTGATATCTCTTTCATACTGATTTAGCCTGCTCATGGATCCATAAACATAAACGTGGTCAGAGCAACTTAAGTGCACTAGTGGCTGAATCTCTGCAAGGAAGAAGGAAAAACACCCAAATTGCATTCAAAGAGTCTACTGGGAATGAATTAAGAATTATTTATCACCCCCAGCGTAAGCCAAACCTTTACTCTCACATCATCCAGTTTCTAACTGTAGGAATAAGTGCGTTTATACCATAAAAATCAATTACTACCACTATACTTATAACAAGAAGTCATACCAGTATGCGTATTTCACAAATCTTATAAAGTAGATATTAATTTCAAAACAAAATTTAAGCAATTTGAAAGTAAAACTCAGGAAAAATTTTATGTCATATAGAAAATACGATGAGCAATTCAACTGGTCACAGAATTCAGAAAATTTAATAGTGCCCTTAGAGGAACAGATCGTATGTCATATAAATATAGCTGGTATACCACCACAGGGCATTCCAGCCTCAGCTACAGATGTCAGAGTTCTCCTATGTGGTCACCAGGAAGTTCTAATTCATTCTTTTCAGATCCAACACAGGGCCCTACTGAAGGGTCTGGCTGAGCTACATTAGATCTAAAAGCAAAGGACTTAAAGGGTATTTGACCCAGTATTCAAAGCCTTCTCCAAGTCAGTTCTCAAAGCTTCACATCTAAGTGAATGGCGAACACCTTTCCTTTACAACACATGCCTACCACTGCTGACTACCTCCTCCCGGTAGACTGACAACCGTACAGACTTCTTCGTCACTGAATTTGTCAAACTTAGAAAAACCATATTTATCACATATTTTCAATAACTGATTTTACAATAAAGACAAATTGTAAGCTTTTATAAAATAGAGATAGTATGATGTCATAATTATAAATTATAACAAAATTTTCTTTAAACAACAAATGGGGTTGCGAGGTAACTGGGCTGAAAGTGATGCATTTATCTCATTCCATATTTTATACACCAGAAAATTATACAATTAACTCCTCTTATGACTGAAGTTGACCCTACTGATTTAGAAACATTAGAAAGCAAATAAAATACTTCTGAATTAGGTAAATTGTGAAAAGCTTCATTTTAATAACAGTACTCGTTTTCTTGCTGACACTAATAAGGATCATTCTTGGGATGATTTTCAAACTGTGGATTTTTTGTGACATCATTTCAAAATTATTTCCTTCAAATACATTATTTGTATTTTAGATTAAACAAATACTTTCAATTTAAAAAAAAACTTTCTCAAAAGAGGCATATTATATAGTCAAATTCAAAAGCCATTTTCCAAAAAAATTTGAAACAAACTAAATGTACAAGAGAGAAATAGAGTAGTAATTATGGTATAATTTAAAAATAAATTTTAAAAACTAAAAAAATGAAGATTGAAAATGATCATTTTGAAAATGCAGATATGAGAAATATTTATGGTTTATTAATAAAAATAAAGGTGCCATATATATAAAAATCACAGCTGTGGAGAAACAGACTATGAAATAATACAGAAAAATAAAAAAGGCTTTATTAGAAAGATGGGATTAAAATCGATGTTTATGTTTAAAAGTCTTTATTATTGTGATGTTTGAATAAAATAAATTTTAAATTAATAGATGTAAAAATTGGTTTTACTAAAATTAATATGAACCAATAAGTGATTTAATAAACCACTTTTCTAGGGTCATCTCTTAATTAGGTTCTTTTACAGTATAACAGGCTTTTTTTATTTCATTAGATAGAATCTAGGAAAAATGGAGTTATGAAAAAGTAAAAAAAAGATTGTTAAGTACAATAAAGAGGTAGAATAAGTGATAGAAGAAACACAAGAGTCGTGTGAAATATTGTAAAATGAGTCTTGTATTTAACCCTTCATTTAATTTTAATAACAAATAACAAATTTTAATAACAAATATTTAATAACAAATAATTAATAGCATACATGAACTTGACTAAAACACTTTCAAAGTTAAAGCAAAGTAAGCACTAAGAAATCTACTGAAAACTAAGTATATAAAACACTATTTGGCAATTATTATTACGAATTTTTTGAGGTAGATAGAAACAGCTATTGATATTTGCATAATTTCCATTTAAGCCATCATGAGCATTGTTCCTTTTGATTAAATTTTCAGCTCAAAGATTTTTAAAAATCTAAATATAAAATTAGAAGGCAAGCATTTATTAGGCTCTATATTATATTACCTAAAGCAGAGATCCAATATGGATAGAGCTCCTTGGTAAGAAGTGCGTCATCGATGTCACAGAGAAAACTTTTCAACACACCCGTCACATCTTCAAGCTGATGTTTCCCAGCCCTCAGTTTAAAGCTTCTTGCATCCTTCTTGAAACTCTCCAGGAGTTCACTTATGTGCAAAGGATCACCATTCTTTTGGTAGATATATTTGCATCCTAAACCTTTGTTTAAAAAAGATAAATACATAAGGTTACATGAAAAAAAGTCTAAATTCAAAATTTAGTTTGATATATTGAAAGCAAAAATACTTGTGCTGGTATGATGAATAAGATGAAGAAGAGTTGATAAAAACATGCACAAGGAGAAAAGCTTCTTATTCCTAATTTTAGTATTTAAAGTATAAACCTAATGAACAAACCGTTCCAGCCTCAGCTTTTAGTAAGCATCTGATTAGCCCTTCCTCCAGCTCTCGCAGAATCTTTTTCAAATGTTCTTTTGCCTCAAGTACCCTATCTTAACTTACTCTCCCAGAACACAAACTTGCCTCTATTTTTCGCTGACAAAAGTGAAGCTCTCTGCCATAGATTGCCCCAACCTCCTGCCCCCATATTGTATATTAATTTCTATATGTTTCCATCTTCACATTCCTTCCAATGAAAAGCTGGGTAACCTCTTTTTCAAAGTTACTGATTCACAATGCCTCATAAAAAATAAGAGGCGTAGTGGTTAGGAGGAGGAGGGATGATGATGATAATGATGATGATGATATAATACAAACACAAAAATCCTTCAGGGTCCTCTCCCAGGTTTCTTGTCCTTCTTCCTTTCAAAACTAAGCTGCGTTTCCTGTTTATTCTTTCCACTGTCTCACATGCCTGTTAATCCTTTAACCACCTTTCTGTGACCAATCTCCATTCTGATGAGATCACCTTCATCGAGAATATCAATGATGTACTTTTCTCCTAGATACCGTTCAGTTTGTATCTAGTGAGAACTTGCAGCATGTGACACTCCAAATGAATCTCTGCTAGAAGTTTTTAACTTCATGGCTTTCAGGACATCACAATCTCTACGTTTTCCACCTCCCTTTGTGATCTCCCTTTAAGTCTTCTATTCATTCTGCTCATCCAGGATTTACCGACGATTCCAGGAATCCCCAGGAATGTTCTCTCTCTTGTTCCTCTAGCTCAATATATGGCATTGTCTTCTCCCCAGGCCCTTGCAAGTCAGAATCTTTCTTTCTCACTTATATTAAAAAAAATATATATATATATGTAATACTATGTCACATAGAGTCATCATAATCTCACTCTCAAAACTGTCCCTGTCTTTCCATCTCATATTCTATTAATATTATTTTGTGCACTCACTTCCTTACTACATTTTCACGTTTGTCCCATTCTGTGTCTGTCTCAGTAATGATGGCAGGTCTGCTGGTTTTACCAACAAACTTAAAGATCTGAACACTGGCCTCCTGCTGCCAGTATGAAGATATACAGAACCCCACACGAACTGACCTGGCCTCCTGCCTCTTATATTCACCTCTTCTTCTCACACTAAGTTCTGGTCACATTTAACTACAGAAAGTTAGCTGAACAGACAACATTCTCTCGTGACACTATACCTGGGAACACACTGTTTTCTCCTCCTGGAATCCCCATCTTCCTCTTCTCCTAACTAGCTCCTATTTCCTCTTAAGGCTCACGGTAGGTACCATGCTTCACCCATGAAGGCCTCCATTACGACCTCTATCTACCCTGGGGAAATTCGCCCCTACACCATGAACACCTGTAGCAACCCCTGAACCTCTTTTCCACAGAATTTTAATACAGAGATGTAACTGCTCGCTTGCTTGGCTCTGATCCATAAATCTGTAAACTCCTAGAAAGCAAGGATTACGTCTTATTCTCTGAGTATATCCAGCAGCTACACTGGGCCTAGAAGAACTCAGTAGATAGTCAATAAATGACTGCTTATTGCAAGAATAAGGAAATTCTACAAAAACCAATGATGACTAAGTGCCTGAGACATTATGTTCCTCGCTGAGTGAATAGCTGGTACTCAAATTAGTCATTATGAATTCAGTCAAGTCTAAACCTTGACACGACGAGCACAGAAAAGTCAGAAAATAGATTTTAACCTATAGGTCAGGAACTTCAAAATAGTTGTTACCATAAAGGCTCTAAGCCAACCACCTACATCCTATAATCACTGGGTATCTTCTAAGTTCATGTCAAATCTTTCCTTCTATACATGCTTTTAACATTGCAGTTTCTCCCATGTTCTGCTCATTAAAGAAAAAAAAAAAAACAATCTTTCACTGGCTATCCTGCTTTAATATGCAAGTTAATGCACCTTGTACTAGGGTTATAAAGTAGTCATAAGGTATGAAATTTAGTTGAAAATAATCTAATGTTTAGTTATTTTAAATTCAAATAAACACCACAAGGAAACTTCTGATTTCCTCAGAGAAACAGTAAATTGGCTACACTGGACTTAGCCAAGTTATTTTAATCATTTCTCAGCTTAAGAAAGACCCTAATGCCATCAGAAAACTAACGTGATGTGAAAATTCCTAATGAGGTTATGTTCTTGCTAAAACATAACATCAGTGCAACTCATTTAAACCTACAAAATGCAAGCACACTAGTACTGAATTACTGTAATAAATGGAGATAACATTTTCCATTTTCCTCCCCCCATTTTCAAATAAACAGATTATAGCTGATTAGAAAAATATGAGCATACTATCATAACAAAGAACTTCCTACAGTGATGCCCACATGTGATTATTTAGACATATAATACAAACACAATGAATCTGGACATTAATAATAATTCACTTGGATTACATATAAAATAAATAAAATACTTAAAATGTTCTCCCAGAAGAGATTCAAATACACACAAATTTAATTTCTGAAAATTTTCTTCATAGTGTTTATTTCTGACATTTGGTTTCATATCAGTGTATTATCACTTTCCCATGGTACGACATATGATTTATGGCTTTGTCTTTAACTTTTTACTCCCTCTGCTATGTTTCTAATATTGAAATTAGTGGCTGGTATATAACCGGCACTCAATAAACAAGCAATGAACTAATAACGCACTGCTTTAGTGTAGCCTTTTTACTAAGTATACCTTCTTTTCAATTAAAAATACCCAAAGACATCTCTAATATTAGCAGAACAAAAAAGTTAATATACCTTCCAAAATATCAAATCAATCATTAATTCTTTTCCATATTTGGAATCTAAATAAATGGCATTTATCCACAGGGTAAAGGGTGGAAAACATTTTTATGTAAAAAATATATTTATGAAATTTCTACCTTGTAGAGTAAGTATGAAAAATATATGTAACTAAGAAGGAATTTGAAGGATTCATAATTATTTGAAAATATTAATAAATATGAGGAAGTTTACTTTTCAGACATATCTAAAATACTATCATAGCATCTAAAATTAAAATGATGTTGAACCATAAACATAGATCAACTTGTTTTTTATTTGCTAACTATCCATAAAAATATCTATTGCAAATAAGCTAAGAGTATTAAAGTTAATAAGCATGCTACTTAATATAAACATTTGACCAATGGCATAGAGAATAAAATAAATACACGTATTCTTTATGCATGCCAACAGAAAGGAAATATTTTTATATATTGTTCCATAGTTTACCACATCTAAAAACAAACAGGCGTGTTGTATCACTCTAGGCTTTATTCTAGACTTGTAACCTCTGAAAAATATAGTCTTTAATCTACTATTTTTCATATACATATAATATAGATTCTTTCAATATGTTTTTAACATTTGTATGCATGTAAAAGAAGAAGAAAATAGCAAAAGTGTATTATACAGTTCAAATGAGTCTTACTGGGAGAAGGAATGGCAATTAGCTGAACAGTGACTCTGCTTTTATTTTTCACTGGTATATTTACAAATATAAAGAGCTTTAATTCAGTCCAGTACCACTTAAAAACTGTAAGAATGATACTGTGAGTTCTAGGGGTTGAATAAAAACTCAGTGATACTCACCATACTGTGTAACAAATGCTATGCAGCTGTTCACTATAATGGGAACGTCATTTTTGCTGAGCTGCTGATCTTGTAAAGCATTACCATCTGTACCTGCTGCTTTTTCAATTGCAGTATGCCAGACTGTGAAATCCAACTTGGTATGCCCATGGATGTATAATGTTCTATAAAGTTTAAAAAGCATTTCGAATTACAATTTTGCTTTAAAAAATCTAACTTCAAGACAGATTACCCTTAAATCCACAGAAACGTGAGCCTGTCTCACCCATCGTAAGAAAAACCCTTCCTCCACCCTCCATCTACCATTACTTTCCACTCAATGCCTCTCCTCCCCGTACGGTCGCATCTCTCCACAGAATACAGGAAGTTCTCTGAATTTATGGCCTCACTTCTTTTCGTTCCCAGCCCCTTTTATTCTGTTTCTGAATAACTGAACAGTCATGGCTATCCTATCACCAGTGACTTCTAATGGATATTTGCAGCTATATTTTTCAAGAATTTAGAACTGATGATGATTTTCTGTTTTAAAAGGAAAAAAAAAATACGATCCAATTTGACTTTTACAACACAATTCCTTCTGGATTGTCCTCCTATCTTTCTGGACACTCAGTCTCTTTCCTGAGCTCACTTCCTCTTTCTGGAAAACAAGGCTGTAACCTTAGCGCATACAGGCGCCATGGACTCCGCAGGGACATGTCATTCGGCCAACGGTTTCATCTCCCCATGTCAATTCCTATCTGCAGGCTGTAACTTCCTCTCAAAAATCAGATCTCCGTGTGACTAAAAAGCAAGAGCAGAGAGCAGCTGAGAGTGGAAACTGCAGTAGCAATTCCCAAACTCAAATGTTAGCTCTGCCACTTTCTCCCTTTGTAACTTTAGACAAGTCATCAACCTTGTTTTTGCCTCAGTTTCACCACCGGTAAAATGAGGAAAGTAATAACACCTAACACAGCACTCAATAAATGTAACATTAATGACTAAAGAATAAAACATAATACTAATGAATATTTATTTTTGAGCACCTTTGCCTTAATGTTCACTAAGCACCTCAAACCTTTCTCACTCACACACCAGAATGCTCCAGGCACAACTCTCCACTTACCCCACCCTACATTCAGGATTAATTACCTGTAGGTCAGTCCCTCTCCCCAGTACTGCCTCATGAATTCACCCACAAAATGCTGTTGGTCCAGTCCCCCAACACACTCACCCTGTCTCATCTTCTTTCCAATATTGCCTTATTTCAGATCTTCATATTGTCCCCTGAGGTTACTACAACCCCTCCTGATAGAATTCCTTTCCCAATTCTCAAAGCCCCCCCATCCCTACTCCTCACTACAGCCAGAACAATCATCTAAAATGCAAAGCTAATGACAGAACTTCCAGATCACTGTCTTTCTCCAGCTCTTGAGTTTTCCAAGATGAATAAATAAGTCTTCATGATCCAGCCTGCACTTTCGCCTCCATTATCTGTCATTCTTCCATACTCCAGTCACTCTGGGGGAAAACATCACATTTCCCTGCCTTTTTCATAAACATTTTCTGCTCTTTGGCTGACTGCTGCAACTCCTCCCCCAAAGATATCCTCCAGGTGATGCTTCCCGACATCATCACTGATCTCCCTCTTATGCTTAGTGCGTATCCCTTTTAACCTCCCTTTAATCCCTAACAGTCCCGTTGCCCACCATTATACCATCTGTTGCAGCTCCGTGAATGTTTCAGCTGCTAAACCCCAAACTTTACACGGGCAAGCAACGAAAGCATTTCAGTATCCCTAGTCATTAGCACAGATCATGGTATTTAGTACATACATAATAGTTTTAAAGACCTATCATTAGACATAAAATTTGATTTGAAACATAAATTGAAACATAATCAATATTCCAAGTAAATTTACACCAAAGTAAAACTATTTAATCTTGATTTAAGACTATGAGAGGGATATCTTGGATCCAATCCAAAGAGAAAAGGAATGAGCTACATGAGCCATGAAGCTTTGGGGGCAGGGAGTGGAGGGTGGGAGGGGAGGGATGTAATCTTTTATGTTTCTGATAATCACTTGCCCTAATTTAAAAAGAAAAATCTTCTTTTTTTTCTTTTGTTTTCTCTTTTTGAAATGCTCCTGTGAGAAGACAAAGCTACCACCATGTTAGCACACTCATTTCTAACATCTTCTGAACTTGCTGTAATTAATTACTTTTCTACTGACACTCGTGCTTATAATCCCCATCTCTTGCTTTTTGACATTTTCATCTATTGTTTTTATTTTCCACACTACCACGGTAGTCCTGACCTCCAGGTTTTGTAATTTTCTTTTTGAAGAATTCTTGACACTTGCTCTACTACTCCTGACATGCAAGAGCCTTTTCATTTATCTTACATAATCTTTAGGTCAAAAGCTTTCTTTTACTGCTTATATTTGTCTAAACGAAATTATATAACTCATACAATTTCCCTGAGAAATATAAAGCTCCTGCATTATATAAACTTAATCAAAATTATATCTTGCTAAATTCAGGAGTTTGGGCAAAGTGAAAAACTTTTTTCTGATTTTTATATACATAGATTTTTACCTAATAGTTAGGCGCTAAATATGCTATAAAATCTTTGTAACTGTTTGCCTATAAACAACTACAATGGGTATTTGAATAAGCAGTAAAAGAAATCCAAAATACAGTGGCTCTCCTACAGTACCAGTATTATTCTGCCATTAACTGTGAACATTTTCAAACTTCAAATTTTCTTTCTAGTCAGAAGAAATCCCAACATGCCAAGTTTAGCTGACTTCTTGTGAACTAGTGAGTAGAACTCCTGAGTCAAAGTTGTCAAAGAGTGACTCCTAAAATATATCATCTAGTGCAGTAGATGTTTGACATTTAATAACGTCGGTTCAACAACTTTCCTCTCTGATGCTTATCTAAACTTTGTGCACACTGAATAAAATATCAAAAAGATATTTTCAACACAAACCCTTGCCAAACTAGTGATTTCAACGGTTATCAAACAACCATTTCACATTTCTGGATAAGAATTCCAAGGAAACATTCATTTACATCCTGAAAAACTGAAAAGTTATTTTGATGAACTTTAATTACAGAGAAATGAGTTATTCTAATTGTCCATTCCCCAAGCATACATTTCATAGGGCATATGAAGAAACATTTCTATTTGCTATAATGAATCAAGGCAGTTCAGTAAGACACGGAAATGAAGTCCTAGGACTAATAAAAACAATTCTCTCAAAATTGCACTATAATCACCACAAAACGTAGACAATCATATTTGAGCCTAGTCTACTGCCAAGAACCACAAGGGTCTTCACAAATAGTAGTCTCAATAAATTTGACTACATAAAAAATAAATATATTTATGTAAATAAAGAACATTTTAAATAAAACACAAAAGCAAATAATATCCTCCACAAGTATGGCTGGAGAAGATAATATCCTAAGCATTTATACAAAACTAAAAATAGTTTTAGTTTAGTTTTATTTCTACAGAAATATGGTCATCAGCCATAAAAAAATAATTCACAGAAGAAATGCTAATGGCCAATAAACACGAACCAGTTTAAAACCAAAGAGACATATTAAAACAGCAACATGTCAAATGCAATTTATCAAAGATCTAAAATGTATAATGTTCATCGCTAAAGAGTATAACGAGATGAACACAGTATTTTATAGACTGATTATATATTCTGAAAGAGATTTGACAATATGTACAGAGAATTTTAAAATATGTATGCATTACATTTTTTTATTTCAGCATAATATGGGGATACAAATGTTTAGGTTAGGTATACTGCCTTTGCCCCACTCGAGTCAGAGCTTCAAGCGTGTCCATCCCCTGGATGAGGCACACCACACCCATTAGGTGTGTACATACCCATCCCATCCTCCCCCGCCCACCTGCCCGACACCCGATGAATATCACTACCATACATATCAAATTGGTATGCTTCACTTTGGGCGTTATTCCAACCACAGGACTCTTTCACAAGCACATAATTTGAAAGACACAGTATTTGTTTCTTCCAGTATCTTCCTGTCCTCACACTCAAGTGCACAGGCATATGAGCACGTGCATTTAGCAGAGCATTTAAAAACTGGAAATAAGCTGAAAACTAGAGAAAGGTTAAGCAATTTTCTGATATCCAGAGACATGTCTGTGTTTAGTACAATGGCCAGAGAATACATAACTGTATGTATACATATTTGAATTCAATCCCATTTGTCAAAATGTTAAATTGTCTCTGGGTAGAAAACTCATGGATATTTTGTTTGCCTCTTTACATATGTCTATGCTGTTTTTAAATGTGATTAGAAACAAATCACTTAAGTCAAAGTTTTGCCTGGTTCCTTGAAGGAAAAGATATTTACAGCCTTATGAGCCATGCCATCTCAGACTATCATTGAACTTTTCAGGCCAGAAAACAAGAAATCTCTCTGCCAAGCTTTTCATTTATGACTAGGAAATCATGACCAGAGAGAATGTGCCTAAGGCCTCAGGGCTAGGAAGGAAGAGGAAATTTGAGCTAATAAGGTAGATTTTCTGATCCTACCTAGGCCTAATCTAGTCCATGACCCTTCCTTTACCTGAGGAATTAGATCTCCATATTTTAAAGCTGTAGTCCTAAATTCCAAAAATGCTCATTCAAAAGGTGAAATGCTGATGTGTATCTTTCTGTGGTCTTTCTTCTTAATGGTGATGATTGTTTTCAACTTCATTTGCCTATTTGACCCAAGGCAACTAAATTACTTGTGGAACAGCTGATCCTTTGGAAGTCTGTTTTTCGGCATAGTGAGGTAAAAATAAAGTAGCCTTTACTCTAAAGCTCATTTAGCCTTCATACCATGGCATTATCTTCCTTGGGTCTCTACTAAATGTCCTGTGTGATTAATGAGGCCTGTCTAACCTGGCTGGACAGAATTGGAACATATTCCAATGTTGTCTAAGCTCTGGGAATCATTCAACTTGTGGTACCCTGGGAATTGTCTGAGCCTGGCCTCTTGGAGTTTCACCCTACAAATATGTAGAAGATATTGAGCCGAAGATGCACAGGAACTCCTATGAAAATTTCTGAAACTCTTGATATATCTCCCTCTGCTCTGTACCCTCTCCTGAAAATTCTGGCTACTTCAGAATCCCTAAACTCCCATCT